CTGCTGCAATGGTGCGATAGGCTAAGGCACAAGCGCACACACATACGCACTAGCCTAGCCATGCGATGGTGCTGTGCTTGTGCTGCGATGGTGCGATGGGCTGCGATGGTGCGCCTAGCAGACCTAGTGTGCTTAGGCTTGAGCCTAGCACACCTAGTGTGCTTAGGCTTGCGCCTAGCCATGCTAGGTGCATGCTAGCTCGAACTAGCCTAGCATCCACATGGTTAGACCATTGTGGTACTACGGCTACGCTCGTACTTGTCGCTTGTGATTTTGCGACGCTCGGCCTCGACGCCCTAGCTCGATATCCGACGTCTGTATTCGTAAAACTTTGTCGACTCATTAAATCCTTTCGGATTAATTCGTCGTCTCGGATCGGTGATTCGATTGGGTTCAACCCGAAGGTTTCAGTTAAGATTAAGCTATAATATCAATTGTACCTTGATATTACTGATCGCAAGCGGCCTCCACCTAGGCATTCCGATCACTTGATCTTACTGAAGAATTAACTCTGTAATAATTCTGAACCCTCTATCGGAAGAATACACTTGTTGGAAGGACACCATTCCTTTCACTTTTGACTCACTAGAAAAACTTATGATGTTCATATCTCCTTTACTCTAGTGACCCTTAGCTTAATCGATCGTTAGTGCTAAAGAACATTAGGGTGCAATGTAGGTTTCCTTTTATCCCAAAAACGTATTCTCTAGCCTTTGATTGTTATAAAGGACTGAAGGGTACTTGTACATGCATAGGAGCCATAATTTGTTTGGTTTTTCACATATATAAAATCATTTTCAACGTTTACTACTTAATTGATTAATGTGGATATCCATCTCCACATATTTCATGTGTTATGTTGAATGAGCTAGGAGCTAAACGGTGAAGAGGGTATTCCGTCGTTGGGGATCCCATTTCCTCAATGCCCATGGCCCTTTAAAAGTCTAGGACTTTACACTTTTGAAACTGTGTTAGGATTTGGATTCCCAGCTGTTTGGGGGACCTTGAATTAGAATTGATTCTATCTTTACACTTTTTTGTAAGAAACTAATAGGGAGTTGCCAATGAGTTTTAGGAAAACTCATAAACCTCGTTCATACCTTTCTCCCAAGTAGAGTTCAAGGGATATTTAGCACGAATCATAAGTTTACCCATGCCCAAATTGGACTACTAATACCAGAAATGAGTACGGGAGCGAGGGTACTAAGATAACGTTCCTTTTTGAGGGGAATCGCCATCCTAGCCCTAGTGCGGCCTCTACTAGCTCTTCCTTTTTCACAATTTTAATACCAAATAATATATGCAACACGATTCCTAAAAACTAAGTTAGTTGATTTTATTTATAAACATTAATCACAAAAAGATTACATTACAACGAATGTCGCTATTCTTATTTATTCCAAATTCGTGAAAAGAACAATAAATAAACAAGATTCGCCTTGACTTAGGTGATAAAACAACAATTAATTATTCAATTCTAGTCTTTATACGCAAGAATACTAAGTGAAATTAATTAGTCTTGGATGTCTAATTAATTTTCACTTAGTCTTTAATCTATAAATTCCATAAAACCATGAAATCCAGGAAAGAGGTCTCAAGTTTTTTTCTTGTACGTATGCTTCGACGCAACCGTCGCCCATAATCCTATCCTGTACCTGTAGCCCCCAAAATCAGAGGACAAGAAAATTTGAGTTTATTTCTTCTTTGCAATACTTTTAAGTCATTTCCATTAATCATCGTTAAAAAAAATTAAATATATTATAAATTCTAAGAGATATGGCATGAATCTCGGAGCTGGACCTGGCAACTAAACCCGATTTTCAAGGAATCAGCAAAGGAGTAGTTGCAAAGCCTTAAAAGGCTTTTCTATTATATATATATAGAAAAAAACATTGTAAAAAAACATGATACGAGCCCTAAGCATTACATTCCATTACAAACAGCAATTAGCAACCAAATTACAAATTCATTCTTGATCAAATTACAACCTACATTGTACTTATATTTCATTCTCAAATTAGTAGATTAGTGGACTCAACACCACCTGTAATTTTGACCCTTATTCCTGGGGTTTTGTGCGTCATCATACAGTCTCTCTCTCTCCCTCCCTTTCCCCTTTGTTCTTTTCCTTTCAATCATTTATCTTTATTCCTTGAACATGTATCAGCATTTACATATATATTAATCTAGCTGTTTTCCTACAGAACCTGGTCTAATCTAGCGAACAGATTTTGACCTAAACAACAAAATTGATAATGACCTAAAAATTGAAAACTATTCCACATACTTGTATATGATATTTCCGCACACATTATTGTTTCGGGGTTTTTTTGATGTCCTACGGAAGAGTTACAATTCCAAGACTTGTCTCTAGACGTCTGTACCTGCAAAATAACAGAGACTCCGAGTGGGTGGAGTTCCACCTCCAACAATCAAGTTAGAACATGCATGGAGTCTGTAAAAAGTGCGGAAAGTAAAGTATCTTCTCGGATTCCGAGAGAATATCTAGAATTAATGATTGCTCTGTTTTTTTGTGAATAGTTCTGAATGTGTCCCATGATGGGAACATCTCCCAATTTATAGGGTCTCGAAATACGTGCCGCCATCCTAGGTTACGAAAACCTAAAAATGGTGGGCTTCCTTGGGAATTGGGCCAGAAAGGTCGGCCGCCATTCTTCCCAATCATTAGGATGCCACGTGTTAACAGGGGATTGGTTCTCTAGGAACCTCTCCTGAAGTGACACACGTCACCTTCCTATTGGACCACGTGTCCTAGGTAAAAATACCTAAAACATTTGCCCCTCACGGGTGTCACGTGGCACCAGTGACACCTGTCAAGCGACCATTAGAGGACGGTTTTTAACCGTTATCCTTCCAGAGAAATTACGGGGATGCCCCTGAATTACCCTTCTATAAATAGATTTTTTACCCCTCCCTTTTTTGGATACTTCTAAAACTTAGAGAGAGAGACATCCATTTTTTAGAGAGATAAGCTCTACCAACCGCCTGTATACCTTGCAAGCAGTTGCTTTCATTTCACTACTCACAGCCGGTTCACCGTCTGGGTAGTTTGCAAATAGTTATTCTTTTTCAAAGGGGTACATCCGGTTATCTCTTTTTTAGAACCATCTGTGTACCCTTCAAGTAAGCTTTAGCATTTCAAGTGGGTACAACCGGTCCCCCGCCTGAGCATCTTGCAAGCCATTGTTCAGTTTTCGCCTTTTAATTCAGTCGGTCACCGCTTGACTACCTTGCAGCTCATCTCATAGGTGCTTCACCTCTTCTCAACTCTTTTATATATTTCCGTTTGTGTACATTTTGTTCGATTAATGGATTCACTAATAGCACACACGGCACAACGTAGTTTAGAGGGCAGTCGGTCCCCTGGTACGGTTGAGTCTAGAATTGGGGGAACCGCCTCTGGGTGCCTTGATCACTCTTACTCATCTCCCAATCCGACCGTCTCCGTGTCTGTGCAGGACACTATGGCCAGGACTAGGAAGACGAATGTAGATCCAAAGTATATGGAGGAGTGCACCGAAGAAAAGTCGCCTGAGGGAGATCAGGCTGAGATGGCAAGAGGATCCTCCATGGGCACACCCAGCACACCCAGTGATGGGATTCTAGAGTCCGAAAATGGAGACGGAGGAGAGGCCGCCTCCATATCCGGTCAGGAGGAGGCGGATGGGGGTGCCTTTGAGAGAGACGGGAGTGAATCTGCCTCTAGTTCTGGGTCTGTAGCCTCAAGCAGCTCTCTAACTCCGGATGTGGATACTGAGGAAGAGGAGAGGCCAACATGGAATAATAAAGGGGATCCACTTCAAATCTATATTTCAGCCAAAGACAGGGAAAATATGGAGAGGCACCTGGAGACGGTTAAACTCAAGCGCCCTCTGGGTGCGGGATACACCATCCGGGTGCCGCCTGAGTTTGGGACCATAGCCTGGAATGACGACCAGCTAGGTGCCAATAGATTTCGGTTGCTATGAGGCGACATTTTTGGCTGGCTTCCGCTTCCCCCTTCACAATGCAATAAAGGCTATCCTTAGAGGATATGGCCTAGGCGTGTGGCAGTTAACCCCAAACTCCTGGGTTAACATCTAGGGCTACATCGCCGCCTGTGAGATGCAGGGTTTTTATCCCGGCTGGGAGGCCTTTGCCAAGATGCCCTATCTAAGCCGAAGTCTAGGCGGGTGGAGGGCATGGTACACCTTAATCACTTACCCTAAATACCTGATGACCCTAGACAAACCGTGTAAGTGGTCAGACTGAAAAACCCACTTCTATCTGATTTCTGCCCCCACTAAGCGAGAAAACTTTGAACTTCGCACATACAACCGAAAACCAGACCTTCTGGGACAGAAGTGCAAGTTGCCTCAAATCCCGGATGAGGTTACGAAAAAATAATAGAGGCGGGGTTTTTTGAGCTTACAATCACCACCCTCTCAACCGGAGAATTAATTAGTGTACCCAAAAACTGGGTACCTAAACATGAATTTTTAGGGACGAGGCGTTTTTGTCCGCTTGCGGGTTGAGCACCCAATTTAACAGACGTATGTAGATAGTTTTTCCACTATGTTTTGCCGTCTCTATATTTTGTAACTTGTATTTTTCTTGCTTGATGATCTAACAGACGGTTTTCTTTTGCAAAAACTATATTAAGCATACTTCCAGTGGACAAAACGCCTGCTAAGTCCGCCGCAGACATTCGCAGGGAGAATACGGAGAAGAAGAGAGCCGCGCGAGCAGCTAAAAACAAGGTGTTAACCGCCTGACTTAACTTCCAATTTATTGCTTTTATTTCTTAGTGTACAGATGGTGACAAACCGTTTGTATAGTTTGTGCCTGGTCCCAGCTTTATGTCTAATTTCTGACTTGTTTTCTAGGAGGGAGACAGGGCTCCTAGATCCCCTTTTGGACTAAAAAAAACTGGTCAATAGTTTGTCTAAAAGAAGGTCTTGAAACAGGTCCAAAAAACAAGTTCAAAACAAGTCCAAAATAGGCCTTTATAAAGAAAAAAAAAGCAAACCGGTCTAAAGAGGTCCAAACTTGAATTTACAGGTCTGGATCGGAACCGCAACGACAAATTGAGGTCCATTACCGGTCCGCATAAATCGGTCCAAACCGGTTCAGATCCGATGCGATCCAGATCTGGACCGGTGTTCACCCCTAACTCCGACCACATGTAAAACTTTGTGATTGCTGTATATAAACTTTACAAAAAAGTAAAAACGTTTCTTTCAAAAAAAAAATAAAAATAAAAAACATAATAAAGGGAGTACCTAAATTTTAATTAAACCATCCAAAAAAAAAAAAAAAAAAAAAAAAATTTTTGAACCAAACACTAAACGCTTAAACCCTAGTAATATTTTCTCCAACCAGAAGTTTGGTTTTCCTCCTGTCCATCTTTGCTCTTCCAGAGGAGATAACAAATTTAATTTTGCGGTTTTTAGTGTTTTAATTGTAATGGGTTTGCGTTAATTCACTAATTTTAAGCTATTAGTTGTTCGAATTTTTCACAATTGTGATTATTTTGTTTGGGTTAATCAGGTTTATCAAATTGGAGAAGAATATAAATTTGAGGTTAGATTACAATGGAAGATACCTCCTTCCTATTTGCAGGCCTTAAATTCGACAAAAAAAAGTTTGCCAAAGATTTCCAGAAGTTCAAGGTATTCCATTATACTTTTTTTTTTCCTTAATTTTTGTATTAATATTTGCTCATTATATTTTTCAATGTTCAATTATATTGTATAAAATTGATGGATGAACAACAGTTCAAGGGAATTACTTTATATGGAGTACCAATTTTCCTTATTAATTTATGCTCTGTGTAGTTTTTCATTGCTCATTTAATTGGGTTTTACTTCAATCTACTATGTGTAGTATTTTGTTTACACATGATACAAAATTAAATGTAATGAAATATTCAACTTGATCTATTGATGAACTGATGGATTGAAAAATGGGAAAGCTGCATTAATTCGGAAAAACTGATGCAATGGTTATTGCTTAAAATTTGACGTTCCATAGCTTTGTGTTTTGTTCCTTTCTTAATTTTCCCCCCCTCTATACCTAGGGGTATAAAGAAAACAAAGCTTTGGAAGTGGATCTGGATTTTGTCGACGATGCTAAAATTGAAGCAGAAGTAGGAAAAAAGTCCATTAGGAAGAGGAGAAGAAAGGGCACTACTGAAGGTAACATTTTTGTATGTCAGCTTGGTGATATGAGTCTGTGATTGAAACCCAAATTTGCTAATTACTTTTGTTGCATTTTTTTTTTTATTGTTTGGTTCAGGATCAGTGGAGGGATTTAGTGTCTTTAATAAGAGTGCCAGTGCAGTTAATGAAACTGAACTAAATGACGAGGAAGAGGAGAAGCCTTCTGAAAAGAAGGAATTTTTCCGGCAGCTTCAGGTCTTATTTTGTTTTAATGTTGCTTTCCTGATTCATACAAGCATGCTATTTGATTAGCTCTTAAATCTAATATAATGTTGCCGTCTCTAGAGTTTTGCGTAGTGATACTGCTGACATAACTATGTTAAATATACATGCTGAACCCTGATATCAATGTTTCTGTAACTTTCAGCGTGATGCACTTCTGCGGAAAGATCATAAAATTCATATTTCTGGGAGTAATGTCCCATCTCCTCTCCAAAGCTTTCAGGAGCTTAGTACTAGGTGAGTATTTGATTTGCAATTTATGAACCAGTGTTATTTATGAAAATCTAGTTTCCTGTTCCAGCTCTGATTTTAATTGTTCATGAATTTCAATGCGTTGTTTGAATTATATAGAAATAATTTTGGAATTATGAATTTTGTCTGCCAGTAAAATTTGGTATTCATGTCTCTTTGATTTGAATCTTATTTATCGTGGGACTGAACCACAAAAAATCTGTACACTAGGGCCATTTTCTCTATTCTTGCCACCGTTTTTGGAGTATGTTCATCCACGGTGATGATTATAAGCATCTTGTGGTTTTTCCTGTTTTCTTTATGCAGCCATGTGCTGCAGTTTTAATGTAGCCATTTAAGAATTTTTATTCTTTAGGTCTAAAAGTCGAGTCATAGTAGCTGAAGGAGTTTCCTTTGTCTGAGATCCTCATTCAAATGTATCTAATTTGCCTCAAAATTTACATCACATTATGGCTATAGCAAGAAAAAATCTAGGATGCAAAAACCCAATAAAATTGCAATTGTAAATGATATATTTTCTCCGTTTCATATTAGTTGACACTTATCTTGGCATGTTTGCCAATGCATGATTTCAGTAATTAATATCTTTAATTATCAATTGGCATATAATATAATTAGTTAATATTCAGACTATATGCATTGAGACGTATCATACAGCTCTGCATGACTATTTTTCTATAAATCTCAAAGGAAGTCAAAGTCGCCTATTAGTGCTCAAGTAAAAACAAGTCGATTAATAAGGAACGGAGGAAATATGATATACTTGTTCATTTTCGCACGTTATTGTAAGTTTTGTGTCTGCAATTAAAGCAGAATTCTTGTAATGCATTCTCTTTACCAGGCATGACTGTCATGTTGTTACATTTAGAGCACTCCTACCCATGAAGAACTTTTCCTTGTGAGGAAAAAAAAGTTCTTCACTAACTTCTATCTGTGGGGAAAATGTTTTCCTCACAAGGATATCTCACCTCGTGAGGTAAAATGAGTTTCCTCATGAGGTCTCTATTACCCAAATCACCCCTAACCCATATTTTTTTTTTTAAGAAAAAAATTAGTGACAACTATTCCATTTACCCAAAGCCACCGTTTAACAGGTTGACTTTGAATGACATTCAAACTAACAATTTTGGGTGAAAACCATTATTGGGTGGTTTTGACTTTTTGAGTAGGAGAAATTGAACTTAGGGGTGGCTTATTTAATTTTTTTCTACTCAAGGGTGGTAATGGGAATTTGTCTCTCACTTGGATTGGTTTTGGGTTAAACTTTTTAATGAACAGGCCACCTCTCTTTCCAGTTTTCTTTCTTAACCTTTGCCTCACAGATAAAAATATATAAGAAATGTAAAGATAAAAGCAAAACAAAGCAGTAGAGGAAGTGATATTCTAAATTTGGATTCTAGTTTGAAAATATAAACCATCTTTGTTTTTTGAATAGATACGGATGCAAACCCTATTTGCTACGAAATTTAGCGGAACTCGGATACAAGGAGCCAACCCCAATTCAAAGGCAGGCTATTCCAGTCCTTCTATCTGTATGTCTTCTTTTCAATCTATCCATGCTGTCATCTTGGTTTCTGTGTCTTCTATTCTATTGATTCTTGTTACTTTTGTTGATTTTCAGTGTAGTCCATTTTTTTGATAAAGGAAAAAAAGAATTTATGTGTTGCATGCTGTGAACTGAATATTTCTGCAGGGACGTGAATGTTTTGCTTGTGCTCCCACTGGCTCTGGAAAAACTTTGGCATTCATTTGTCCTATATTAATGAAACTTAAGGTATGCATCCTGTGTTTCATCTCACATTGCGGGTAATATGGTGATTTGTGATAGAAATAATGTGAATGTCTTCTATTTGATTAAGCAGCATGGGTTAAAAGATCGTGTTCGTGCTGTTGTTCTTTGCCCTACTCGTGAACTAGCAGCTCAGACGGCTAGAGAAAGCAAGAAACTTGCTCAAGGAAAGAACTTTTATATAAACTTAATGACTAAAGAGCTTTCCAGAAGTGCTGATTTCTCAAAAGTGCCTTGTGATATACTTATATCAACGCCACTTCGCTTAGAATTTGCAATTCGCAAAAGGAAGCTTGATTTAAGCAGGTATGTGTACAATTCATTCAAGGCTGATTTAAGATGATCTGGGGATGAGGTATGTATTTGATTGTGAAACTCACGCCTTTCAAGAGGTATGGTTCCAACCTTACCCAAGGGCCAAGACCCCTTGCACTTAGTGCCAGGGGCCAACAGGGGAAAATGAGTTGAAAATGTCAAAAGGACCAAAATACCCAGAATTTATGAACCAAATCGGAGAAAATTTCCTCTGTTAGTTGCAAAAAGTTTTTTAGTTTTTAAAGAATCAGAAAATAAATTTTAAAGCTCAAAGGAGCCTTTGCACCTAGGTGCACCTAAGTCAATTGCAACAAATGATCAATACAAAAAGTCTAGGTAGATCTAAAGTTTAGTACGAATCCTAGGGAGGGTCCCCTCTGGATACATGTTTTTTTTCCCTCAAGGTTGTGGGAAAAAAAATTCACCAAGACCATCCACATTGATTAGGTTTTTGAGGAGCCATTACATATTCATGGTTCATTTCACAAAATCGAAATGAAATCCATGTAAGATCGGAGACACATAATCATCAGTATTATGAGTTTGGTGCTACATCTATTTTATTTTTTGTATTAAAAAGCATGACATAATTCTAAAGCGGATTAAAAAAAACCCTCAACCCAAAAGAATAGTCCAAGATTATCATATATGTCAGATCAACAAAATAAAAAATTACTAAAACAAAGATACAAAAGCATATAGTCAAATCAAACCACTAGATCATTACATAATGAAATGTATCACCAATGTTATCAAATTCAAGCAATTAAAGGCTTATCTAGTTTACAAAAAGAACCATATTTTTTGGTAAAAAAGTTGCTGGGGGTGCATCTGGTTTTCCTAAAGCACTGTTTCGCAGTTTGTTTTACTTAAGCTCTTATTTCACCTGGTAGTTTGTACTGTTGATAAATCTATAGTAAATGTGGAACATGGATTTCAATGAAATAAAAATACAAGAATTGTCAATTTTGGGCTTATTATTAGATTCTGCTAACATCCACAAATAGTTATCTAGACTAAAGAATTTTGCACAGTCTGGGATCAATTGATCCCATGAGTATGTTTATTGACCCAGATCATTTTCAGAATATTCATTCTTCTTAAGCTATGTTTAAAAAAAGGCACACACCCCCAAAAAATGACCATCCAATTTTTTTTCTGCAGGGTTGAGTTCCTTGTTCTTGATGAATCTGATCAGCTGTTTGAGCTTGGTTTTATGAAGCAGATTGATTTTGTTGTTAAAGCCTGCTCAAATCCCTCAGTGATTAGAATGCTGTTTAGTGCGACTTTACCTGACACTGTTGAAGACCTTGCACGGACATTGATGCATGATGCTGTGCGGATAATTGTTGGCAGGAAGTAAGTATTAATTTTTTAGTGTTTATGTTATACATATTTCTGTTTCCATTTGAGAAGTATTCTTGATAGACCTGAAAGTGAGAACTAAAAGCAAGTATTCTTTGGAAAGGTTTGAAGAGTCTTAGTTTAATTTATATCTTTAATGAGATTAAACTAGTAGAAAAATATTTCTTAAAGACCTTGATTGGGGACATTTTCGAAAATATTAGAGTTATTATGGAGAAGTACATGAATTAGAATAGTAGTACAAGTTTCTTGTGTATGCACTAAAATAAAAATAAAAATGGGAGTGAAGTAATAAATAGCTGACTGAAAACCTTGTAGAAGACCACAACAGAAGTGTTACCTGATTATATGCTCATAAGTAAGGAGAAAGAGGGGTGGGGTGATGCACTTTGCTTAAGTTCCCGGATTAAAGCTGTTGTGAGAGTGTCCTTCACTTTAGAAATCAACTTGATTGTTAAAGTATCAATGAGCTTGTCCTTGTGAGCCTTTGAGCAGTGAACTCCTGCTTGATCCTATTTTGTCATTTCTGCTTCAACTTACCTTGTTTCTTGCACACTCTGCTCTTATTATTTTTTCTCTTATAATTATAACATCTGAATGCTTCCTTATTAATTTGTCTGCATCTAAGTCTTGTTTATTTTTTCTAGCCATTATTAGAAACATAGAGGTCACAACTGCAAATACTATTTTACCATCACTAATCTTCATTTTACCTATCTTACTAAGGTTGCCAATCTGTAACCTGAATCATTTTCATCTGCCAACTGAGCTCTTTTGTATTGGGTTGTAGAGTATAATTTTGTGTCTTGTAAGGGTTAGACCACTGTATGTTAAAAGCAAAAAGTGATCTCATTAGAGATCTATAAAAGTATGCTTCCTTCCTTCCCCAGTAAATTGAAGTCAATGTGGAGGCTCTCCTCCTGCCTCTGACAAAGGACTTTTATCTTTTCTTACAGCTCTTTGGAAACAATAGTAACCAACTGAGTAAATGCATATTCGAATTCTCTGAAATGTTAATATAAGTAGTCTTTTCTGGTGAGTGTTATGTGTATCTGCTTTGCATATTATGTATGTTCTTCGAGTGACCTTGGCCTTGAATTCTGTTTTTGTTTTGTTCTGCTTTTCTGTGAATCTTTCCCTTCCTCTTATCTGATATTGCACGCTTTGATGTTTGATTAGGAACACAGCTTCTCCATCAGTAAAGCAAAAGTTAGTTTTTGCTGGAAGTGAAGAAGGGAAATTTCTTGCTTTGCGTCAAATTTTTGCCGAGGTAGGCTTCTGACAAGTGATGTAGTGTTATTGCTGCTCTTAGAAACCCCTTATTGTTCGTTGATATTCTTTCCTTAGTTGGTACTTCCTCCGTTTATAATAACATGCAACATTTTGACTTTCATGCTTCTCAACATATTGCTTTGTTATATAATGTATCAAAAATTTAATTTTAATATAATGGACATGTTATTCATATTTCTAGTTTAAATATACAAAAAAAAAGATGTCTTCCTGCTTTATTAAGAAGTAGAATCTACGAGTCACTTGTTGCTAATTTGAATTTGTTATTTTTCATCTTATACTAAGCATAGATAATCTCTCTCCATCCTTTATTTAGCTGACACATATTTCTCTTAGGGCCATTCCTATTTTGTTGACAGCTTGACACACTTGTACTTTATTCCTTAAAAGGAATGGTCCCTCTAAATTTTTGTATTTTCAGTCTCTTGTTATGGGTCCCACTTTTTTTCCCAACTTCTATGAAAACAATTAAAAATTTAACGCCCGACTCCCATCAACAAAAGTTATGGTCCCCACATTCCACTAACTACAATTAAAAATTACCTCACTGCTAACCTTTACAAAATAAAATACCAAAGTCGATAAAAATGCCTAGAACTCTTTGCTGGTCAAACTGTGTCAACTAAATAGTAACTGAAGGAGTAATTCTGATTGGTAACTAGAGGTAAATTAAGTTCTAAGTTAATGTAATAGAAATAAATTGTGATTGACAAAGAGCTTTTGTCAATGCACTTTAAAAGGATTATTTTTGCTGTAATTTTGGCATGTTGTCAACATTATTGCGTTGTTTGTAAATAAAAAAGTTAAAATCCATTCTAGTATAAGGGTTTTATGTTATGATATTTCTATTGTCATAGTAAGCAAGTATGTCATGTTACAAAGTGCTTTGGATAATTTCAAGGTTTTCTTATGTGATCGTACACTCAATTATGCTTGCTTCAGATTCTATATCTAGTTTACATTCTTTACACTAGTCTGATGGAGCAATGGTACTGATATTTTCTTATTCTAATAGTATCTCTCTATTTTGCCATAAACAGAGTCTAAATCCACCAGTCTTAATCTTTGTGCATAGTATGGAACGTGCTAAAGAGCTTTGTAGAGAACTGGCGTGTACTGATATCAAAGTGGATGCTATCCATAGTGATTTGCAAGAAGCACAGGTAATGTACTATTCCTTATGGAGTAAGCTGCTTGCTTGCTTCTTTATTTGGTATGAGCATTGTGTACTTCAAACAATTTATTTCCTACTTTCTTCAGAATTAATGTCACCCTGAGCTTGGAAGACATATTTTTTTATTTTGGAACATGTGAAACTAGTCTTGTGATTTAGGATTGGGATGAGCACACATGGGAAGTAAAATATTTTCCTTGGTGTCTGTTTTTGTTGCAAGTATATGGAAACAATGGCTAAATATTGAAGAGAATTGCTTATTGCATACAACTGCAATTAGATGAATTCTTCAATAAGGTTGAGATATCATGGGGAATTATCAATTAATAGAAAGAAGGTTGAATCAGCTAACGGTGGATGTTGGTTTTAAATGGTCCATTGACATATGTTATTAAAGTCCATTATGTAGTATATTCTTTCTTGCAGACTGCTCCTTTCTCTGGTTGAAACATTTTTTTTGTTGCATGGTTTGATCTTTTAACATTTTTCCATTGATCTTGTGTTTTTTGTGTTTAATTATGTACAGCGGGAGAATGCTGTTGATAATTTCAGGGCTGGTAAAACTTGGGTTTTGATTGCCACTGACGTCGTTGCTCGTGGTATGGATTTCAAAGGTCTCAACTGCGTGATTAATTATGATTTTCCAGAGTCAGCTGCTGCTTACATCCATAGAATTGGTATGTTTGAATTTCTCTCACTAAGATATGAGTGCATTATTTGTGATTGATTGTTTGATTCTGCTCAGTATACTGAGTCAACATTGTGTTATTCTGGAGAACTATGCAATGCCCTAATGTTCTTTCTCCAAGGAAAAGAGATTCTGAAATTTGGTGGAAAAATTTGTAGGATTTAAATCTATGATTGTTTGATCAACTCTCAGTGATTGTGCTGTCTTATTTCTGGTTGAAACCACCGGTTAATCGGCTTCTACTTGTCCTTTAGATGTTGAGCAATTTGAGGATCTATATGTGGCACACTTTTTGATCTTAGTCATTACTAGATTTACTACAGATACCTTCTGCTTGATTTTGGTTTCAAGAATCAGTGTAGCAATTAGTCATTTGAACATTTAAGTTCCTTGTTGATTCTCAGGAATGAATATTATTTTAGATGCCATGGGCATTGGTCACTGATAAATTTTCGTCTGTGATTATGTTAATGCATAGCTGAAATACAAGTTTTTGTGAAGCATTTGTCCGTTTGACTCGGATTATTAAGTTAACTTTCTGTAGTTTTTCTACTGGTAGAGCTGGTCCTGGGAGAGATAGCGCAATTAGTCATTTGAACACTTAAGTTCATTGTTAATTCTCAGGAATGAATACTATCTTTAGATGCCATGGGCATTGATCACTGATAAATTTTTGTCTGTGATTAAACCAATTGAAAAACTATGTGGAAAGCATTTCTGTTTAACTGGGATTTTAGTTAATGTTCTGTGCTGTTTCTACAGGTCGAGCTGGTAGAGCTGGGAGAGAAGGAGAAGCCATTACCTTTTATACAGAAGTAGATGTACCATATTTGCGCAATTTAGCGAATATTATGTTAGAGTCTGGGAGTGAGGTACCATCTTGGGTTATGTCCAAACCCAAAGCCAAATGGAAGAAGCATCGCCCGGTTAGAAATTCTATATTTTGTGGTCCTGCTGATGGGAAATAGTGGATGGTAATTTAGCAAAAGATGTAGGAAGTCTTCATGTAATTTTAATTTTTTGTTTCTGTTTTCTCCTGAGTCCTACACTCCAATTTTGTCGAGAATGCTAACATGTATTCTGTTTCCTATCTCTTTTAGGAAATTTTAGGAAATATTAGAAGGTTTGTTTCGCTATATTTGTAACTTTGTAAGATTTTCGTAGTTCAAATTAGATTGCGTGACTATGGTTTTTAGTTGCTCTATGACTATATGTTCCAACATGTTTTATTTTGTTACTCCCACCGTCCCTAATTATTTGCCTTGTAATTTTTCACAAATCTCCAAGACACACCAATACGTATATATTAGATGAAATATGTGCGATGCACGGTTTGTTTGTATTTTTTTACAACTTATATTTTTTTCCTATGTATGTAATAAAATTTGTTACTTTATTTATCCGTTGTACGTAGTATATCATATTATCATTTAATATTTTTATTTTATTTATTTTATATTTAAATGAAATTCCTAATATTAAAAGATAATATTTTATATTTATTAATTTAAACTTTAAAATTTATTCGCTAATTTTATTTTGTTAACGTAAAACTTAATTTTAAGACGAATAAATGATAAATGATGAATATTTTTTATTTTGCTAGAAAAAGAGAAAGGATATATTTTTAATTTCAATGATTTTTTTTTTGTATTTAATTTAAAACCGTTTTTTTTTTGAGAGAAAACTGATTTTTTTTTTAATTAAACGTGATTTCATTTTTGTTATTAGTATATTTTTATAAAATATTTTATTATAATCACTTGTCATATTTTCATTATTTTTTTTATTTAATCCAATTTTTTTTTAAATATCAATTGAATGTGAATTTCATTTTTTTAAGTTTAATAGTATTCTTTTTTTTTTTTACATATACGAAATAAAATAAGTTGTTCTTTTCTTTTAGATAAAATTTCCCCTATAAAAAGATAGTATTTTATTTTTATAATAAATTTAAATTTTTAATTTTAATCTTACGTGGCGCTTTAAAATAACAATCATATGTGGCATAATCCTATAAGTAACGGTCTAAAGATACTAATCCTACATGGCGCTCTAATAATTTTTTAAAAATAAAAATCGTTGGTGGCTCTCTAAAATCTCGGGAAAAAACTCCCCTTTATATATATACTAGTTTTGTGCCCGAGCGATGCTCGGATTGTTGATAAAATTTTGGGATAAACTTTAAGTTTGAATGTTAAATACATTCATATATTCCTTTTCTAAAATGAAAAATATTTAGACTTATGATATCATATGGCTTATTAGAGTAATTTTTGGAGTTTTGTTTGTAAACAGATATCTACTCAAGTTATTATTAACTTGAAATTATTTTTATGAACTTAAATTATTTTTACTATTTTTACCAAACTAAATTATTTTATTAATTAAAACTTATTTTTATTGATTCTATGTCACTCCGTATATATTTTTAAAATAAATTAAATATATTATAAATGGATCTTATTTTAAAGAACTTTTTAAAATAAATTTTATGATAGAAATAGAATCGAGTTATGGAATATTTATTAAAAGTTACGATTAATTTTGTATATATGAAATATTAGAACTTTAGAAGTATTTCGATAATAAAACTCTATAAAATATTTTTATCTTAAAAAAAATATCCAAAATTCGCTTACTTATCATCATATGTGTCACAATAATATCTATTTGTCGTATGCGTGGCTCGACACTTGGCAAAAAACTGGAATGCCAAGTGTCGCTGTTTCATGGCCTGGCTGCGGGACCGGCTTTATTTATTAGGGACTAGTTTTGTGCACGGGCGATGCCCAAGTTGTTTATTGAATTTTAGGTTAAACCTTTTGGCTTGAATGTTAAATACGATTATATAATCACTTTGATAATGCAGGATATTTAGACATACGATATCATACTTAAATTATTTTTATTAAACTATTAAAACTTATTTTTATAAATTTTCTATTATTTTAAATATATTAAATGGATCTTATTTTAAAGAACTTTTCAAAGTGAATTTTATGATGGAAATAGAACCAAGTTATTAGATTTTTATTAAAAGCTATGATTAATTTTGTATATATGAAATATTAGAAGTATATCGACAATAAAACTCTATACAACAATTTTATCTTAAAAAATCTATCCAAAATTCGCTTCCTTAGCATCATATATGTCACAATAATATCTAGTTTTCACCTACGGGCGCGACACTTGGCGAAAAACTGAAATGCCACTGTCGATGTCTCGTGGCCTGGCTGCGAAACTGGCTTTATTTATTAGTGATATGATATTAGATTTTTGTAGCTAATTGTGTAAAAATTATAAAAACTGAGATATTGATGAAGTACAGAATAAGACAAATTTAATAAGATCTAATCTATGTTTTATTTATAGTTTGACCCAAATATTTACAATGGGACTAATAATTGAAAAGGAGGAATTACTTATTTCTTCAATTATTTCAACTAGTTGACATTTGCTTGAAGATATATCAGCGAAGTGTATTTCTTCCCTTACTTTTACTGTCTCTCTAAATTCCTATCAAATCAAATCTGTTCATTTTCAGCCATTGAGGAAATGATTAGGTCAAAATTAAATCCTTTTTATAAGCAATATTTTCTTTCTAAATATAACTAAAATCTTGTTGTTCACCAATCACCATTACACACATGTTAAAAAAAAATGCATGGAAGTGTTTTTTAGTTACACAGTAGAGCATTAGGGGTAAACTATACAACAACTTTCATGCATTTTTTTGATTTTTAGTTACACATTAGAGCATTAGGGGTAAACTATACAAACCAACTTTCATGAAAGTGCTTTCCACATAGTTTTTTTTTTTTTTTTTTTTTTTTTTTTTTTTTTTTTTTTTTTTAAATTTTGACCGAGAAACTATAAAAAAAAATAATAATAAAAAGCAAAATCCTAACTTAATACTTGTAATAAACTAAATTACACATTAGAGCTTAGGGGTAAAACTATACAACAACTTTCTATTTGGAAACTAGATGTTTTTGGTGAGGAAACTATAAAAAAGTATAACCTTCCTTCCATCACTCTCTTTGCTTCAAAATAAATACTCCAATCAAACTGGACACATATGCTAATGTAAAACTTTAACTTATAATATCTTTAAATATTAAAAACTATATATTAAAAAAAAGTTGATATTCAGAAATTATACATTTATACGATTCTAACAAGCACACACGCACATAATTATATTTTTTCTTATTTATAAATCATTAACGTTGGTCGAAATGGCTTAAGTGAATAGTGCAAAATGTCAAAATGAAACATTTAGTTTGAAACGAAGGGAGTGTATTTTACCCATAGTAGATATGAAGTCTACTTGCACACAGCCAATTGTAATTTCTTACCTTGTAGCAATGCAATTTTATACCTATCTTACTAATTACAACAATTTCAGTCTATCTCGAGGCTGCCTAATTTCTGACTATGATAAGTTTAGAAGGTGTAAATTTGTAACTGCACACTTACGCCATTCTAGTTCAGTGCAAGAAAGGTTTACTTTGGTACCGACTCACAGTTTTGTTAGTATTGATAGAATTTTATATCAAATAATCAATAGTTTGGTGCCAATACAAATAGTACAATACACAACTAAGTACCAAATTTACTATTACAGAGATTTGTTGTTTTAACTTTCAAAAAATGCCGCTTACAAAACTCATCACCATTAGGAATTAAGGAGTAGGAATTAGGAATTAGGAATTAGGAATCTCCCGTCTATTTCTGCTTGGAAGGAAGAAAAAATGGATAATGCTATATGTAATATATAGCCCTTCGGGCTACAAATAAGCATTTAATATCTTTTTCTAATTTAGTATTCATTTAGAATTGCATGACAAAATCATGCGCAATCAGTGTAATTATATATTTTCATTGTTTATTCCATTTTTAGCTTCTTATATGTAAAGCTACATATAGCATTTTCAAAAAAAAAAAAAAAACTTCTTTTACTAATTTTATGGCTGATTGGCCTAATCTAGTTCTTCAGTTAAAATCCCTTTTCTTTTCATAAGATTCGAAGATTCATGCGTAGAATCTGTATCAGATTCTTCCATTGTCAAAGCAGTCAACGATAAATTAAATGACAGATGAAATTCAACCAAATTTTCAAGTAAAAAAGTAATCATATTTCACATTATAATTCATAATTAGGTAATGAGTTTGCATCTTCAACAACCATTTGGTGAAGCCACCAACTAAAGATCAGAAATTCCATTGTTTACTTCCTTTGCTTGTGTTTTCTTTTACTTTAAGTGATCACCTCTAGAAGCAACAACACAATAACTATGAAACACCTAAACAATCTAATACTAATTTTGAATAATAAAAACAAATGGCTTGTTCATACTCATGATTCACTCTTTTGAGTTAGCTAGTGCCCATCATTGTTATAGTCTAGCACTGCTTTAAGACAAACCTGCTAGTCGTCCCGAAACTCGACATTTTTATTCAATTTTATTACTAGTATATAAAATGTCACCCACAAGTCATTTCAACTCTTCTACATCACCCAGATTATAAGCTTAGTTCATGAGCTCTGGTTGTTTTCTGTAATCATCTTCTATTTTACTTCAGATAAATGGGATCCACGGAGCGATCAAAGAAGCGGATTCATCTATGGAAGAAAGCTGTTTTGCATTTCTTGCTATGTTTTGTGATGGGGTTCTTCACGGGTTTTGCTCCTACTGGTAAACCTCCATTTACTAGTCTCAAGTCAACAGCAGACATACATCATAACGAGTCCATTGAGCTGGCACCAAGGCCTATGCTGGGTGTAGCAGGCAACAACACTTCCGCTAACAGAAGCCTATCAGAAACTCCAGACAGTGCAATGGAGGATGCAAATTTGGTCGACGAAAGAGAAAGTGAAAGTGATAAATTGAATCCAAGGAAACAAATCATTGTTATTACTCCTACAAATGATAAGGATCCTCTAAGAGGAGTTTTGTTAAGCAGGATGGCAAATACTCTAAAACTGGTGCCTCCGCCACTGCTGTGGATTGTTGTGGAGTCACAGCTGGAGTCTTCTGATGTATCAGATATACTCAGGCGTACGGGGGTAATGTATAGACACTTGGTGTTTAAGGAGAATTTTACAGATCATAGAACTGAAATGGATCACCAGAGAAACCTAGCACTAAAGCATATCGAGCATCATCGGTTAAGTGGAATTGTTCATTTTGCAGGCCTCTCAAATGCATATGATCTCAGCTTCTTTGATGAAATTCGAGCTATTGGGTAAGAAGTTTTTCTCCCTTCCTTCCCTTATGCTACTGGTTCTAGTATATCCAAAGTTTTTGTGTCATAGTAACAGATGAATTGTTGCCCCTACTGTGTGATATAATGTGAAAAAGCATGTTTCAGTCCGATTTAGCTTGCTAGCAGAGTAGAAAAACGCTGTGCCTTTACATTATATATTTCTTCTTGCGGTAAATTCTACTTATCAAGGCTTATAAGAAAATGAGGTGTTTAAACAGGACATTTGGGTCATGGCCCCTTGCAAAACTTTCAGCAAGCAGAAAGAAGATGATAATTGAAGGGCCAGTCTGCCAATCTTCCCAAGTCGTCGGTTGGCATCTGAAGAGCTTAAAAATGGATGCAGAGGAATTGGCCATTCACATTTCCAGTTTCGGATTCAATAGCTCCATCCTATGGGATCCTGAACGATGGGGTTATCTGCCTTTCGCAGATGCCACCAAACAGGTTCATACTTAAACTCTTTGTAACTGCCCCTTTGCGAAGTGATATCAAATGAATATAATAAAGGCAGAAAAAGAGTCACCAGATCATACTAATGACCTTCAATGTAATTCACTTTTCAATCATTAAACTAATCACATAACAACACTGTATGCAGAATTCACTCAAATTTGTCAAAGAAGCAGTTCTTGAAGATGAGAGCAAAATAAAGGGAGTACCCTCGGGAGATTGCTCCAAAGTAAACATCTGGCAACTGCATCTTTCCTCCAAAATTGTACAAGTAAATCATGTTCCAGATTCTACATTGGACGGAAAGCGAAGATAATGAACCAAGGCAGCAGGGGATTTCACTATTCATTCTTATGCTTTTCCTCTTTATAAATGTGTCTTCTGATATAAACCTTGTATAATTGGTTTCAGTACATTTTTTGTAACCAGCTATTCGACAAATGAAATTCGGCTTAGCAATGTAATTTACAGACCAAAACCATAATGGAATTAGATGGTACAGAACTTTTACTGGAGATTGTTTTGTTGTTTTCATAATTCCTCTAATGCACTCCAAATCTTAGCTGAAAAGTGACATTCACACTTCCAACAAACAACAATTATCAAAACTACGATGCAGAGTAGGCAAAAAAAGGCCATTTTTATATATGCGTCATCAAAGATTTACAAAAACAAAAATTTGGGATCCAGATGATTAGTAATTAGCAAATTGCCTTTTACAATGAGAAAGTAGTAACACGAATTTTGTGTTACCTGATTAAATCATCCTGAAAAAGTTAGCATCATGTGCAGATATATTATCATCTAAGTTTGCCAGCCGCTTAAACTATATTACTACCTAGGTACAGCCCAGTTGCTACTTACATACATATACAAGGATAGAATAACACTTACAAGAAGAGAAAGGGCCGTTGTAGAGAAACTTGTCAGAAACTTACATCGTTGTTCTTCATGGGTTACTTATACTGCAGATCAGTGGACAAAGGAGAAAAAAGAGGATCCTCGCCCTTTTTATAGATGTCAATCAGCTGTTTGGAATTCTTCTTGGCAAGCCTGCAACAATCATCAAGGCCCCTTTGATCATGCTGCTGTAACTCATCCACAGACTTCTTCATCTTGCCTTTTAAATCCCCATCTATTAGAAAATTGGCCAGAGAAATTCCCCTAGAACCAAAATACACACTTCAGACAGATGCAACTACCAGTAGTTACAAGTGTATTTTCTCTTAATAAGGTGATGATTAAGAATTATAAATAAATAAATAAATAACAAACAAAAGAAATAAACAGAACATTATTGATGAGATGTGGATGATGTCAGTAACTTCTGCATGTAATATATCTTCCAGCATATAAAACTCTTAATAGACTGATGATTGAACAATTTTGTCCCAGAGTGACACATAACTTTTGCATACAAGCTGCAAAGTGATATTTCAAGGTGATCAAAGAAAGAACTGCTGCATGCATTAGCAGCTTCTTACTCAATTGAGATCAGATTCATAAAATGATGCCAATTACATCAAGTATATACGAAGTAAAATTTTTAACAAAGCAATACTGGTCTCCTGTTCAACTGTTACATGCCAAAATTACCGGCATGTTTTTCTCATAACTATAGTTAGCTACTTACACAGTCAATTAGTCAACATTGTTTGCTAGAAAGTGGCAGCTAGTTGTTCAACATAAATAATAAGAACATATAGGTGTATACGATTACAATTTTCAGATGAAACAAAGCATAGATGAAATTTTACTAATTATTTCTCACGTAGGTACTTCACACAAACACAAAACTGTTTGAAGAAAAGAAAATCATGACTAAAATAAAGATTATCGTGGTTAATAAAGACAATTAGCAACTTCACTAGCCAAACATCTGCTTGGTCTGGATAAAAACAGATTTATACATAGCATTATCTTTGGCTAGTGATCTGGAATTGATCCTTGATCAAGACCTTATGCAACCTAATGAGCCTAATAGTTCAAAGGGTCCAAACACACGTTCAAGGGTCCAAAAGAATCAAGTTCCTATTGTCCATGGGCTGTTCATTCAAGGGTCCAAGCTTGACAATGTTCCACGCATAGGTTTCCACATAGCTCCATCTTTGTACAAGTCATGCGTGGCTTGGATGGATGAGTAAGCAAGGAGTTTATTTGCCTTGGATGCCTTGATGATATTCGTAGCATTGGGGAAGAATATTCTTTTGTTCCTTTCTGTTTTGAAGGCAGCCAAAGACAAGGGAATAAAGGAGGGGGTTACACACGGTTTTAGTGTGCATTCAAGAGGAGTTTTACTCTCTTGTTGGGCGCCATTCATGGAGTATAACCTCCTTAGTTTAATTGCTTTTTATTACTACTTATTTGTATGTTTTATTTTCAGTTTATAGTGGTAATTAGCTTAGCTTAAATTGCTGTAATAAAGTTGTAACTGTCAGCCGTTGAAAATAGAGAGAGCTAGGCATATTTGCAGCGAGTTCCTTAAGGAACTGCGTTAAGGAACAGCAGCAGTTATTATTCTTCAATATGTGACGGTTTTCATGGAAACCGTTACACCTGAGGTCTGAGTGTGGCTGGCGACTTTTGAGTTCCTTTTGGCTGGCGACTTTTGAGTTCCTTTTTTTTTAAAAAAAAAAAATTAGCTAAGTAAGTTAATTAATGTAACTACTTCCTTAGGCTATAAAAGTAAGTCTTATCTAGCTTTGTAATCATCTTATCTTACCTTGAATGAAATATCTATTATGAAATATACCTTGTGTTATTTCTAATTCTAACTTGTGGATTCAAGTTACTTGAACTCGTGGACTCGAGTTTGTGAGCTTAACTCGGAGTGTTCGGAGTTAGCTTGTCTTATGGTTAGTAGAGTGAGTGTTCAACTCTAACCATACCTATCCTTGATTAGTATTGCGAGTGTTCCTTGCTAGTCAAACCTTGAGTTCCTCAACACCTAGCCTAAACACTTAACCCATAGCCCGAAACACCTAACCCTACCTTAGATTCCGCATCAGCTAGGATGCATCTTCATTTGACTATTTCAAAATCCAAGATGTGATTTCAAACGTACATAAAAATCACTTCTGCTGATTGGCTAGTTGATCCAGAAGCCGTACGAGTAAAGGACTCCATAGATGAACAAACAGGAATTGGTAATAAGAAAATGTGAAGGGCAGTTTTATCTTATCAATATAGTGGTAATATAGCAAATTAGCAATACTATGTGTTAGGTATATCAATTCTTATAACTTTCAGAAGAGATTAATTAAGCAATCTCATGCGAATTCTAAAAAGTCACAACTTATTTATACGTAGTACTATCTTTGGCTAGGATGCATCTTCATTTGACTATTTCAAAATCCAAGATGTGATTTCAAACGTACATAAAAATCACTTCTGCTGATTGGCTAGTTGATCCAGAAGCCGTATGAGTAAATGACTCCATAGATGAATAAACAGGAATTGGTAATAAGAAAATGTGAAGGGCAGTTTTATCATATCAATATAGTGGTAATATAGCAAATTAGCAATACTATGTGTTAGGTATATCAATTCTTATAACTTTCAGAAGAGATTAATTAAGCAATCTCATGCTAATTCTAAATATTTAAACATTTCAGATAATCTTAATAGAAAGATTTATAATATTTAAACATTGGTTACCTGTCAGCATCACACTTCTCAAATCCTTTGCTGCTAGCACAAATTGAACCCTTCATCGAAGACTTATGCTGCCTATATAATGCACAAACAGCCTTGGCACAAAAGTCAGGATCTTCGTCAAAAGCACAGACCATATCAGCTGCAACCTCCAGCTTTTTATTTTCCTTCCTCTGCCGGCAAGTGGCCATATACTTTTCAAGTTGAGGGGGACAAGAATTATGAGCTTTGTTGTTTTCAAAATTAGAATTACCGTTTTCATCTTCCTCACCACCATTATCCACAAACCCATCAAATCTTGGCTCTCCAATGTCTCTCCGGAGCCTTTCTTCACATTTTCTGATAGCTGACAGTGCTTGCCTTTGCTGAATGTTAAATTTATGCCCATCACCTGCAGTTGATGGAGTTGATAAAACAGGCTTGACTGGTCCATATGACCCATGTTCAAGCTTCTTCATATGTTTCTGGTTTAGGCTATCATCATTAGAACTATCGCAATGTTCTCTCAAATTCTCAGGGTGTACATACGTCCTTTTGACACCACTAACACGAAGAGGGATCTCATCATCATCGTCACTGTCAACAATAATAATGCTGTTCACTGTGGTCCCCTTTTTTCCAGAAGTCCCATTTTCTTCTACCATTTCTGCCTCAAAAACCAAAGTTCTCTTGACAGCATCGTCAGATTTCAAGAAGCCTTTGGGTTCATTACTTTCAGAAACAAAAGCTGAATCTGAAATAAAGGACTATCAGAACGGGCATGATAAAATCACATTGCAACACAAAACTAAACATGGAGATGCAATCATGTTCACTTAACAGCAATATTACACAACATGACCAATAACCTGAGCATAAAGTCTCAAGCAGAGCCACTTGTTTTCTCATTAAGGTTTCTTTCTTCTCGCCTAATCTTAAATTATTAACCCTTGTCTATACTAATTAAAGCTATAAACTGAACTTGGATAGCCTGTATCTGAACTTACTGAACCCTTATCCAAACTTACATTCCTTTGGTGACAAAAAAAAGCCTGAAGTCAAACATTGTGTCTAATTTCCTCACATTATTAACGGTCTTACATATCATTGCAATTACAGGTATGGTGGTTCGCGCTAAAATCAGGCCAAGATGTTTCCTCTCCACATCCAAATGCATATGACAACAGTACAATGCTCAAACTTCCATAGTGATAAATCTTTCAAATAATTTAACCATATGTTTGGGTCCAATTTAGTCCAATTGGGCTTAGGCATTAAATGATCCAATTAAAAGCCCAAGGTCAAGGTTCATCTCTCCAATTGTGCTAAAGTCAAAGATCAGTCCTCAAGGCAAGCCAATTGGGCTAAGGCCCAACTTCTCCATGTATGAAGAGGTATAAAAGCCATCAATATTACATTTGTACATTCATTCAAGCAAAGCCTCAAGCAATTAATTCTCTTGCATAGTCTTCTCTTTCTACGCACTGTACTGACTTTAGCATCGGAGGGGCCTTCCTCCGCAACACCCCCGAGGCTAGTTTACGTGTGTTTACTGTGCAGGAAACCTTCGGCCCAACATTACTTGGATCGAATCTAATCTTCTCCACTTCATCGGACCTTCGGCAAGGTCCCATTGTTTTCACCCGAAACAATTTGGCGCCGTCTGTGGGGAAGACTTTCAAAAATCTTTAAGCTAAATTTCTAACCAAGATCATCTTGCAATAATCTTAGTAGCAATGGCTAAGAACCGCAAGAGCAAAGGCCTCCGTCAAGGAGCGGGCGAAAAGCCTAAAACCCCTACACCATCACCCTCGCCGGACCGGAACTCTCCCAAGGGTGCCAGCTCGGGGGGAGGATCATACAGGGAGGATTCCCTTTCTCCCGTAATTCATGACTCTCATCATAGGCCGAGTCACTCTCGGTCTAGCAGGGGTGAGTCCGATCATAGGACACATTCAGTGCCCCAAAGCCAACCATCGAATGTGCCCCCTCATTCCCATACTCGACCGAGGACCCCTTTGACGGGGCCCAGCTCGAAGGAGGTGGAAAGAGCGCTGGCAGTGCTCATGGAGGCAATGAGGGCACAAAATATGCCACCACCTCGTGATCGAACTCCTCCGTATACCCGGCATCAACGGAGGAAGCTAGACCATGATGGTGGGAAGCTTCCTTCCTTCCGGGAACTGGAAGAGTGGGAAGAGGATACCTGGAAAAATGAAAAAGAGAGGAAAAAGAACCCTCAATTTTTCAAAGGATCCTCATCCTCCCGACCTGAAACGCATAAGAGCAGCAGCTCAGCTTCTCGGCCAGAATCTACTCACCGAGAACAACCTGAGACTGTTCGCCGAAGCGTCCTCGACCGACTCGGCGGCAAGGAACCGAGCGTGCGCAGTCGCCTCTCGTTCCCTGCGGCCGAGGCCCAGACTTCCCAGCCAGGGACGAAAACCACTCCTACCTCTCTAAGAGGGCGGAGCGCGGTCCCTTCGGCCAGGAACAAGGGCAAAGCCGTTTTGCTACCCGCCAGTTCGCTATTCGAGCAATGGATACTGGAAGAGCACGTGCCCACAGTTAAAATACCGTCGCACATCACATATGACGGGACCTCGGATCCGAAGGACCACGTGGCCTCGTATGAGACTCATATGCATCTTAGCCCCAGATCCGAAGCGACTTGGTGCAAATATTTCCCAACCACTCTCAAGGGGGTCACGCAAGCGTGGATCTCCAAGGGAGTAAAGCAAGGCTCCATAACAGGTTGGGATGATCTGTCCTCCAAATTTAGGAGCAAGTTTTCCACGGCAAACCGCCGAGAGAAGACTACTGCAGAACTCATGAGTCTGCAACAGGGGGAAACCGAAAGCCTCCGAGACTATCTGACCCGTTTCAGTAACGAGTCATCCAGCGTCTCTCAGCTGGACCAGGGGCTAGCCGTTTTTGCAATGCAGAATGGCCTTCAGCTCGGGAAGTTCCTAGACTTCATGGTCATGCATATCCCGCAGACCTTGGAGGAAGCTCTGAATGCCTCGGATAAGTTCATCCGAGCCGAAGAATGGAACAAAGCGAAAACCCAACCTCAATTCGGGGGGAGGGAAACAAAGACAAATACCCTTGTTTGAAGGCCAAGGCCATAAGGCAAAGGGAAAGTCAAAGGCCTCGGAGCAATCTTCGGCCAGCGACCCAAAGAAGGAAAAATCTGCCTCATACACAGGCAGATACGAGTCCTACACTCCGCTCTCTCTTCCACGCGCCAAAATTTACAGCGTGACGAAGGAGGAGCAGAGTTACCGAAAGCCGAGACCACTCCCAGAGTGGTATCAGCGAAAAAATAAAAATCAGTGGTGCGAGTTCCACGAGTCTCCGGGACACAACACTGAGGAGTGTATCCAACTGAAGGACCAGATAGAGGACATGGTCCGGAAGGGATACTTGAAAAAATACATCGCGGATCACCGCGAGAAAAAAGAGTCCGAGAAGTCAGCAAAGGACTCTCGGCAAGACCTCGACTTCCCCCGGAAGATCAGTAAAAAACCGGAGGGGAAATTCTCTCCGATCAATGTTATCTCGGGAGGAATATGCTCTCGGAGGGAGCACAAGCGACACCTTAGGGCTTTGACTCACTAGGTGAACAACGTTGACATTCAGTCTCCCCAATCGGCGGTGCCGAACATGACGTTCACAGCCGCCGATTGCCGGGGGATAACGTTCCCTCACGAGGATCCGTTGGTGATCATCGCCACGGTGGCCAACCACGACGTCAGTAAGGTCCTTGTTGACGGTGGCAGCGGAGCAAACATTCTGTTCCGAAAGGCCTACAATCAAATCAAGCTGAAGCCCAAGCACCTTACGCCGGTACCCTACCCGGTATAAGGGTTCAACGGGGCTTCAACTTATCCAGATGGGAAGGTGACACTTCCTATCACCATCGGCTGCGATGAGGCAGCCAGGAACGTCATGATTGAATTTTTGGTCATTGACGCTCCTTCAGTGTACAACGTGATTTTGGGGAGACCTATAATTCATGAGATCCAAGGGGTCGTCTCAACTTATCATCAGCTGATGATTTACGTCTCAGACGCCGGCTTCCCCGAAAGGATACAGGGCAACCAAAAGGACGCCCGAAGGTGCAACTACCTCAAGCCATCCAGTAGTCGCCCAGATGACGACAAGGATGAGGAGGAGAAAGAAAAAGAAAGAGAGCCAAGCACAAAAAAGCCGAAAGGCCTAAGTGCTTCGGCCCAAGGATCTGAACCCAGAGGTAAAGGGCCCGAAAGGGAAAAGGCTAGCTCTTCAGCTGAACAGCAGGACTCAGAGAGCCAGTAGAAGAACAAAAAGACTGGGACACCTGCTGACATAGGCAGCAGGCCAGATTATGAAGAGTCCAGTCCATCAGCAATGGACATGGACCAACAGACTGAAACAATTGAGTTGGTCGAAGGAGACGTTGAGAAATGTGTAACAATCGGGATGGACCTTGATCCGAACACCCGTTGTGAACTTATTCAGCTCCTTCGGGACAACAGAGATGTGTTTGCTTTCTCGGCAACTGATATGCCCGGGATAAGTCCAGACCTCATCTCCCATAAGCTTAATGTTGACCCAACGTGTCGACCAATTAAGCAAAAGAAGCGGAATTACTCCGCTAATAAGAACCGAGACATCGCAGCCGAGGTCAAAAAATTGCTGGAGGCAGGCTTCATCGAGCCTTGCCAATATCCAGAATGGCTGGCAAATGTGGTGATGGTTTAGAAGGCCAATGGTACCTGGAGGATGTGCGTTGACTTCACGGACCTAAATAAGGCTTGTCCGAAGGATTTCTATCCATTGTCGAGGATCGATCAGCTAGTCGATTCAACAAGTGGCCATGCCTTGCTTAGTTTCATGGACGCATTCTCGGGGTATCATCAGATCTTCATGCACCCCGACGATCGAGCAAAGACAGCATTCGTCACGAACGCTGGGGTGTACAATTACAAAATGATGCCCTTCGGATTGAAAAATGCGGGGGCAACCTATCAAAGGCTGGTGGACCAAGTTTTTGCCGATCAAAAGGGCCGAAACATGGAAGTCTATGTCGACGATTCGATCGTCAAAAGCAAAAAACCTGAGGACCATGTTAAGGACCTGACTGAAACTTTCGCCACCTTAAGAAAGCATCAAATGAAGCTGAATCCGAAGAAGTGTGTCTTCGGCGTGAAGTCAGGGAAATTCCTTGGGTTCATAGTCAGCAAAAGGGGGATTGATGCCAATCCCTCCAAAGTCAAAGCGGCGCTCGACCTTCCTGAGCCGAAAACAAAGCGGGATGTTCAGCGGCTCACCAGAAGAATGGCAGCCCTCTCGAGGTTCATTTCTAGAGCTTCGGATAAGGGGTTACCTTTCTTCAAAGCCCTGAAACTCCCGAAAACAAAAGAGCTCGTTTGGGAGGAAGAGCAAAAAGACGCCTTTAAACAGCTTCGGGAGCATCTGGCTCAACTCCCAACGCTGGCTAGCCCAGCAGAAGGAGAAACTTTGTACCTGTATGTGGCCGTTAGCCCAGCCACCATCAGTGCAGTACTGCTGAAGGAAGAAAGTAAAAGTCAGCAACCGATCTACTTTGTCAGTCATACACTGACGGATGCCGAGACTCGCTACCCTCTACTCGAGAAAGTCGCTTTCGCGGTAGTAGTAGCTGCTCGGAAGCTGAGGCCCTATTTTGATTGCCATCAGATAGTGGTCTTAACTGATCAGCCGTTGGAAAAATTTCTCGGCAAGGTTGAAAAATCTGGTAGGCTAGCCAAGTGGGCTTTTGAGCTCACCGAATTCAGCATCAGCTACCGTCCGAGGGCTGCCATTAAGGCTCAAGCTCTAGCGGATTTCTTGGCCAAATGCTCATACCAAGAAGCGCTAGACAATGAAAAGAAAGTCTGGACCGTGTTTACGGATGGATCTTCCACCGAAAACGGTTCGGGGGCAGGAGTAGTGATAACTTCTCCCGAAGGCAAATCCTTTGAGTATGCACTAAAATTTTTCTTTTAAGGCCTCGAACAACGAAGCTGAATATGAGGCAGCAATCGCCGGCCTAGAATTGTGCATCTCCCTGGAAGCCGATCATGTCTGCCTGAAAACAGACTCTCAGCTAGTTG